TCTGAGCCTAATCATGCTCATGAACAGTGAATTTGAACTATTACCATCAAACCTGAGAAACAGGTTCCCACTTTTTAAAAAGCTCAGACTGAAACACTCTTTTGTACATCGGTTAATCCTAAAATTTAATATGAAGCTAAATCCCAGCTCAAAGCACGTTGAAGGCCTCAGAATATTAATTTTTTGTTTAAATGTTTTGTCAAACATTTAAACAGACTTTGACTGCAGTAAAGTTCAATCATCAATTATTCAATCATCAGCGTCCATGTTTACAGTGCAACTGCTGTGCTACAATAATCCAGTTTAATTTAGAAAAATGTATTATCTGATGTATTATCCATCTATATCTAGGCTTAAATCTCTGTTAGTATACTTTTTAAGTTTATTGAAGTGAATGCACACCAGTTCCTGTTTGAAATTAAATGGGAAAAAAAGATGAATGTGTTGAGAAATAGCTCACAGCAATCTCGGGTAAATGTTGTTATACAGTATGTAGTTCAAATGTTGGCATCTATAAGGAGCAAACAAATCATTGTGTTGTTACAAACATTAATTAATAATATAATTTTCTTTCTTAATTGCTTAATTAATGTTTTCTGTTTTCCCCACATTGGATTCCTTTCTTTCCTGTTCCCTCTGTCTCCATATCAGCGGTAACTGAAGCTTTGATGGCTCCGGCCCAGTACCCAGACTGCTCTGGGACTCGTAATCTCCATGACAACCTGTCAGACCTGCGGGCTCAGGTGGCAGCCAATCAGAGAGGCAGCCAGCTGGTTGGGGAGTTGATTGACAGCTACGGGTTAGCTGTTGTTCAGGCTTATATGGGATACATTCAGGTACCTGTTGTAAAAATAAAAACGACATGACAAGATTATAGATTTTTGTCATTCTGAAAAGTAGTGGTTCTCAATATGCTTTGAATGACTAGAGCACTTTGTGTTTCTGTTTCAGAGTAATGCAGAGCTGGCAGTGAGGGACATGCTGAGAGACTTTGCACGTCGTCGAGGGCAACAGACTGGCTCCTTGGAGGTGGAGTCTGAGGATTTCATGGATGATGGGACCCCAATAAGACTGCGGGTTCAGATTAATGAGGAGAAGGTGAGTGGGGGGGGGGACTTATAAACATGACAAACTTGCATAGATAAGAAGAAGTCGGTTAAGTTCTTAAAATAAATGCACCATTAAAACTTCAAGTCCTCCATCACCACAGGGCAGTGCAGTGTTTGACTTCACAGGGACGGGCACAGAGGTGTGGGGGAACTGCAACGCTCCACGTGCCATCACCCTCTCTGCCCTCATCTACTGCCTGCGCTGCATGGTCGGACAGGACATCCCGCTCAACCAGGTTAGTTGGTTTATTTTAGGACTCCTTGGTAGGAGTTTAAGGTTAGATAACCTTTTTTTTCTTTTTTTTGTTGTTTTGTGTCTATTCAGCTGCTTTCTGTTTATCCAGGGCTGTCTTGCACCAATCAAAGTCATCGTCCCCCCCGGCTCGATCCTCCAGCCCTCTAAGAATGCAGCTGTGGTTGGAGGAAATGTGCTCACATCCCAGAGGGTGGTTGACGTCATCTTTAGGGCGTTTGAGGTGTGCGCTGCTTCGCAGGTGAGAAAAATATTGATTTGAACATTAAGTCAAATTTTAACTCCAAGGTAATTTACAATTCACTTAGCAGACGCTTTTACCAAATTTAACAACATAATGTAAAGGGGAGAATTAACTGGTGAAATGATGATCAAGAAAACTTGATAACTATGTGCGTTTTTGTTAATTGTTATTTATTTTTTATTTAGGGCTGCATGAACAACATTTCATTTGGCAGTGAGAGCGTAGGTTATTATGAGACGGTTGCTGGGGGAGCAGGGGCGGGGCCAAGCTGGACTGGGCGGAGTGGAGTTCACAGTCACATGACCAACACCCGAATCACTGACCCGGAGATTTTGGAGAAGAGGTCCGACATCAGTTTAAGTTTTCTTAGTTTAGTTTTAGTTCTGTTTGGGTTTTTTTTTGGTGCGATTACAATATATTCATGTGTATGTCGCTTCTGTCCCTCCTGTGTTCAGATATCCGGTCATTTTAGAGCAGTTTTCTCTGCGACCCGGCTCAGGAGGAGCTGGAAATTACTGCGGTGGAGATGGAGTGATACGGAAACTTATGTTCAGGAGCAAAGTGGTGTTATCTGTTCTGACAGAAAGGCGCTCCACCCGTCCCTACGGCCTGCAGGGTAAACTCCGACCTCTGAAGTCCTCAGCTGTTTTTGATGCCACACCAAACAAGGCTAGGCTATTCATTTATCCCCATTATCATAATATTCTGCTCTGTATCTAGTGGCCTCTGTCTTTCTTATATCAAGGGGGTGAGGACGGAGCAGCAGGGATGAATCTGCTTCACAGAGCAGACGGTCGAGTCCTTAACCTGGGAGCCAAAACCAGCATCAGCCTTCAGCCTGGGGTAAGACTGCACCATGTGTTTCTTTTCACCACATAAAGAAATAGCAAACATCTGTTATGCTGCATCAAATAAAAAGTTTTTTGCTGACAGAATTGTATTCCAGATAAATATTTAATTTACATTAAAAATTAATCTATCATCACATATATAACTTTAAGCAAACATTCAAATGATTTCTGAATTCACAAATGAAATCTTATGTTGATGGATAATTTCTGCAGAACACACACTGGTTAATCCTTCATTTTTAATCATTTCCATGAGGTGAAGTAATGAAGTGGGTTTTTTTTTTTAGCGTAACTGTCTTTCTTTGTCTCCCCCTACAGGACATGTTCTGCCTCTACACTCCTGGAGGAGGGGGGTATGGAAGAGAGGAGGACACAAACAAGAGAGCCCAGACAAAGCGCAGGCGCTTGAATGAGACATTCCCTGAGAGAGGCAGCGTCTTCGAATACAGGATGGCCCAAGAAGGAGTGTGAAGGGAAAGAGACAGAGAGAGAGAGAGAGAGAGAGAGAGAGGACAGAGAAGTGAGAGGAGGAGAAGAAAAAAAGGTGGGGCGATTACAGGATCTCAAGCGGAGAAAGGGATCCATAAGAGAGAGTGAGAAAGAGGTACTTTGACAAAGATGGAAACAATAGGTGCTAATTAGGGTTTCATCACTTTACTGTGAGATATAAATAAAGCACACATCATAAAGGAAACACTTATGATAAAGTAAGACTTTTTTTGAATACTTGTAGATGATCAATAAGACTTCCGTTAGGGACAATTAATAAGTTAAAGTTACACTCCACATTTTAACAGGAATGTTACTCTTTATTTAACGAGAGGAAACTACCGGTAACTAACCCTGAGCCAGTCAGATTTTTGACACCAAATTGGGTCTATATTTTTTATTTTATGTAGACCCCTTTCTGTGTAAGGGGAAAGATACTTTTTAATTTTGTGTGCAGAAATATTTTTCAGTTTTGTATTTGTTTGTTTTAGACAAAAAAACTGTAAGAATGAGATGCAGTTCTGTTTTAAACTGGAATAACCACATTAACCAAACAGATATTGTTTATATTTTTCTGTAGTTGTTTTAATAGGACATACAAATAAACTCCATTTCTACTAATGCCGTTATTCTTTTTCGTCCTTTCTTTACATCACTTTTTTTTTTATCTTTTTTTTTAGGGATGAGAGAAATATTTTATGAAACAATTTGTCAATTCTGTAAAATAGTTTCAACGTTTTGAAAGTGAAGGTTATCTAATCTCAAATAAACGTTTAAAAAGAAGTATAAAGGAACAACACATAAACTGCACATGGGTTACTGATCAGGGACATCGGCAGTTAACAAACACAACCCACTGGGGCCCAGTGTGAACCCGAGTCATACATGTAAATTCATGAGGCTGAGTGTTCAGAAACAACCCAGAATGGTTGTGTTTGGGGGAAGGGGACATGTCCCTGTTTAAGTGGTGTCCCCCTCCTCCCACCTTTGGGTGAGGGATGATCAGGGAGAAAAGGAGGAAGGATGATGAGGGAGTGCAGGCATGCGTAGGCTGTTGATAAAGAGATAGGGGACACAGCAGTGGAAGCAGCAGGAGGCTGACGGCTGCTGGACTGTTGATGTAAATTAGTTGGTTCTGTGTGTGTGTGGTTGTGTGTGTGTGTGTGTGTGTGGGTGTTGTGGGCTGGAAACTCCACTACTAAGGCCATGGACTGTGGATCAAAGTTAGTTTACCTGGTTTATTGATCACAATTCCTGCAGTAAAACAATCTATCTTACCACTGATGCTACAAAAAGAAAGCTCTCCATTGGCTTATAGTTAGCTCCTTGTTTGGGAATATGTGCTCCACTAAATCAGGACACAACCCTGAATAGTAAAATACCCAACTTAAGACATAGTGTCTGGAAGTACTTAAAATGTTTTGATTTATACACAACAGAGTGCTAACTTTGTGTTTTTATCAGACCTAAAAATAGCAAAATTCTGGTTTAAACTGTGGAGCAGAAGAATAGGCTACTTTTTGTTTATGTAAGTACAACACAGTGTTCAGGGTCCCACTACTATTTTTATTACAAGCTTACAAGTTCATTGTTTTTTTTAGCTAGAAGCTAAATAAGCGGAACTTGCCATGCAAATACAATTCATGGCTAAAATGGTAAATATCTGCATGTGAGCCATGTCACATTAAGTATGTTAGCATGCTTGTGTAGCATTTGGTTAAAAGTGATGCTCTGTATACATCTAGCATTGCTGCTAATGTAAATGCCGATTCATTTTCAGTTTTATGAGAGGCTAAGCTAGCAAGTACTTTTCTGTAATATTTACTTGATACTGGAATGGAAAAACATGCAGTTATACTTGTCCAGACATATTAAGCCCATTGGTAAGACATTCTGTGTAGAACATCCAGTGAAACCAGTCAAGACAAAACAGCCATCTGAAACAACACGCTTCAGTTAAAGAAAAAGAAGCTTTAAAGTAATTCAAAGAATAAAAATAAAGTAAAGGCTGTGTTTTCTGTTGTCTTATTTTCACGTAACACACTGAGCAGCAGTTAAAATTAAGATTTTATTACATACCCTGTTCAATTTAGAACTTATGAAACGTTAAGCTGTTTTCACTTTAACTCAGGACTGTACAAACATTTTACAAGACCACAGGAAAATGGCCAAAAACTACAACATTCACTTGTCAAGGTAGGTAGACACTTATAAACAATATCCTTTGGATGATCATCACAATAACATGAATAGTGCAAAAAAAAAAAAAACAGCAGAGCAGACTCCACAGGAAACATGTCACAGTCCATTAAAAACATGAGGTAGATACTGGTGGTTGCACAGTGGTTGATTGTCTCCAGTGGTCTGACAACTTGCAGCATTTTAACAGACTGCATATAAATCTAAAAATATATTTTTTTATTTAACATAGGTTTTGAAACACTGGAATCTGTAAACACAAGATAAAAAAACATTGAAAATGCCAGTTATAGCCTATTTGCAGTATTGCTGTTTTCAGGTTAATTATGATATTATTCATGTGTAACAATGCAGACAGTCCAATTATGTCAAGACTAAAACCTTATAGTAAACAACTTGTCCCATGTGTTAGTGTTCTGAACAAACAAAAAATGACACTCTTGCTGTAAGTCATTAAATCTGAACGCAGAAACACCGTGACATAGGAACATTTTAGACTTTTACTAAGATTTTTTCAACTACAACAAATCCAACGTTGTGTTTAAAATGTTGGCAGGATACAGGACTTTGAAAAAGATACTGCAAAATTCTGTTGATAGCATATAAAGTCAACCTTACAGCTTTAAGTTGTTCAAATGACTAAACTTCAGTCAATTATGTAGAAAACATGTATTTGTATCAATAAAAAAAAACAGTGCAAATATTATTGGCAGTATACACACATAAATTGTGTCGTAAGATTGAGGTAGATATTTGTTTGTTGTATAGCTGATTTAGGTAGATTTATCCTATGAAACCACTCCATATATACTGATAAGAAAGACAACATCCCCAACTTCATCTTATGTGAATCAGCACCCTTTTGCATGTCTCCTGTAAATGTTTCCTGGGCTGGACTCTTGTTTTGGACAAATTTGCTGCCGGAATGTTTGTTCTTGTGGATCTTGATACACTCCCCATCCTTCATGATAGTTGCTTAGCATCTGTGCATTTTTACTTACAGTTGGGCTGAGTAGAAGTGAAGAAGTCTGTTTTTAAGAGTCAGTACTGAGAATACCTGTTTAGGGGATGTCCATTCTGCAAGCTGTATTGACTGGGTGGTTGATGATGTGAGACAGAGTTCTGATTGCTTGGTACCAACACATCAAACACACTTTTATTCGGAGGAACAGATTGCAACATGTTGTCCAGGTCCATGATGAGGGGCGGGGCTTGGACAGAAACATGTCCGTTAGGGAGGATAGGCCAATAAGCATGACTTATAAAGTGACCAGGTGCAACAGGAGAGCTACCGTAGCCATAAAGAGGAAGTCCACCATGTAGGGGCATCAGAGGGCCTCCATTGAATCGCATGCTTGGTGGAGCAACAGCGTTAGGAGGAGCATATTTGGCATAGGAGGTGGGAAGCTCCCATGGAGGTGCAACAGTCTCCCGTCTGGCTGATTTGTGAAGAGGAGGTCTGTAGTCCTCATAACCGTCTGACCCAGCCTCACCATCCTGAGGAACGCGCTTACCAGACAGAGACATGCCTTTCCATTCTTCATCGGAAGAGGAGGAGGAAGTGGACGCTGGGCTGGCAGAGCTTGCCGAGGCGCTACGAGCAGAGGAGGCATAGCGAGGACGGGGAGGTGGTGAGGAACGGGTCCGATCAAGTTTGCCCCAGCAATCCCTAGAAGACACATCCACATCTCCAGAGGCACTCAGAGGCCGCAGGCTGTGCAGTAGAGAGTCGATGGCAAAGGAGGAGTCCAGTTTAGGTCGGAACGAATCCTCCTGCGGTGGAGAGGGGTTTCTGGAGCGCATCGCAGGTAGGGTGGGGTCTGGGGCAGTGGGGGGTTCAGATTCTGGCTTGTGCCCCTGCAGGATGTAGGGGGCCAGGTCCTGGGCGAAGATGGTCTCATCTTGGCGGGACACTGCCGTGTTTTGCCTCTTAAGGAGCTCCAGAGGAACACGGCTCAGCTCCACCGCCCAGAAGTTGCCCTTGCCTTGAGGCTTCCCTGGGTCCTTCAGTACCTACAGGGTGAGGGAGGGTAGACAGTGAGGGGAGCATGTGGTATGAAAACCTAGTCAAGCAGGACAAACTATTTTCACTCTTTACCATCACAACAGCAGTGGATAAGAGATGTAATCTCAGAACCTGTTTGTAGGTATAGGGCCAATCAAAAAGTGGGTTTCTAAGTTGTTGAACATGGTCACAAACCCCAACTCAGGATAGTGCAATGCATTTTTTGTGTAATCTTCAATCAAAGCCACTGATTAGGCTTCCTATTGAATTGTATAACAATTTTAACACACATACCTTCACAAAGCAGTCGTAAGAGGAGAGGTTGTGTCGCACAGAATCTCGCCAGCCCTTATAGTTCCCTTTGAAGAATGGGAAGAGGGTGCTGATCTCCTTCAGGATCTAGAAATAAAACCATGTCAGTGTTTCTCTGAAAAAGACTCCAGTATTCATTGTTTTTTAGCATAGGTATGCTTAACTGCACAATTATGCTGAATAAATACACACAGCTGAGCTGACTGAGAACAGAAATGCCGATGAGGGTGCCAGCTTTACTTTTCTCTTCAGTAAAGTAACATTAGACTGAAATTAAATAGACAGGGCGCTCTTAACTTCTTTCACAGGAATAAACAAAATGAATTAAAAGTAAAATGATCAGTGCACTTAAAGCTGTAGTCTATCAAAACAAACGTGATTTCACCATGCACTGTTTATCTTATCACTTTTCTGGTACATATCAGTGTCTGGTTTCACTGCAGTCTAGCCTTATCAAAGCGAAGCAGGAATGGAAGTCACTGAAGTGTCACCAAGAGGCTGCTGTTATGTGTCATTTTGTGGACTGTAAATGATCATTCAGTGAGTTAAAGAAGCACAGGTCAAAAGTTAAAGAACAAGAACTCCTCTCATTTTCAAAGAAGATTCCAATAAAATGGTGCGTAAATTAAGAGAAGCTCGAGAGGACCACCGTGCGTAAAACCGGCCATGCATCACCTCTACGCAGATTAACAACGCAATGCACAAGGCAATCAAAACACAGCGGAATGCAGACTCTCACTCTTACCTCAGATAACGTGAGTTTCTTCTCTGGGGACCTTTGGATGACCATTGCAATCATAGCGAGGTACGAGTAGGGAGGCTTCGGATACCGCTGATAGTTCTTTTTCTTCCCACCGCTGGTCCCACTCTTGTCCCCTTCACTGTTCCACGAGTCCCGGTTAATAGATTCCTGCCTGAAGTTGGCATCTTCAGGATTCGGGACTGTTGGTGGTGAGACTTTATCCATAAATGCCGTGTCACTGGTGAAGTGTTCGGGGCGCGTTCCGGACTTCTCCAAGCGCGGCAGTTGTTGTGGAACCATATGACCCGGGTACTGGTGAGGCCAATGCTGGGCTGCGTTGCTCCGCGCTACAACGCCTGGAGGAAAACTCTGCTGAACATTTCTGTGGAAGTCAAGTTGATGGCCCTGATGCTCTCCGATGTGGGGCAGAGAAGGTTGTGCCAAGAGGCTAGGCTCCGGCCAGTGTTTTGTCATGCTGATCAGCCACAGGGGGGAGAAGATCGGTCCGCACGTTCGGGCAGGACAGCGGAGAGGGGGAGGGAGGTCAAAGAGTCGGTCCTTAACTTCTGGCAGACTGCTGGCTCCAGGCTGACTCTATTTGAAGAGCAAACAATTAACAGTTTCATGTAAATCCCGCTGCGTAATCGAGGGGAGAATGACGCGTTATCTGAGAGCAGAATGACTGATCGCCCCCGAGGGGAGGGGGGGGGGTTGGGAGGTAAGGGTCTGTGTACGAGGAGGGGCGAGAGAAAGACAGTAAACCTGTAAATAACACTTGTGATAATATCAACATGCCACTTACAACAAAGAGATTCTCAGTTTGCTATGGAATCACTGATCAGAAGATCACTTAGGCCTTAAGTTTTAAGTGCGTTAAAATGGAGAATGCACTTCTGTCACCCAAAAAGTTTAAAAAAATAAATAAACTTAATGTGAAAACCAACAGCAGGATACTTGTTTTACTATACACTTACCCAAAACCTGTGTCAGTGCTGTAGAAATACAATCACGGGCACTTGAATTTAGAGAGTGACACTTGGGCTCGGAGGCGAAAAGTAAAACTGGGGGGGGGGGGGGGGGGGAAGAGAGAATGGGGTGTGGTACAAGAAAGAGAAGTAATTTCGATTGAACTTACATGCAATCAACATTTTTTGTGAGTAATATACAAAAGGAAAAGCTAATAGGCCATACAAACGCTGAAACATTAAAAAGGCTGCAGATCTTCTGACTTGTCGACCAGTCATTTTAATACCACAATCAAATCCATCTCCTAATTAGCCTGTATGTGTCAGTGGAATTGTTTATAATAGTGACTGGATAAACCAGATTTATGTTTGGTATACACTTTCAACCCAAAGTATTCGATGTTTCGTTTCAAAGGCTAACATATCATTTGAAGTTGGCCTATATGTGCAGGATGAATTATTGTGCGGTATCGTGGTGCTCTCAGAGCGCGCAACATTCGTGGAGAGTTTTGCGCACATTTGGGTCTCACTGTGACCATGCAGGATGTCATTCGGTATTGAAGGACTAAGTTTCGGGAATGCAAAGTCTTTTGTTCACCTTAACGTAGTGCTAATGTGCAGACGCTTTCTTCCCAGCAAGACAGTGAAAACAAGTTGGATTAGAAGGAGCCCCATTGGCACGCTGGAGACTCTTCCTTCCCAACGAAGCTGCTTAGCATGTGTGGAAATACGGGGGCTATTCAACACCATTTGTGGGTTTTCTGGCGCTTACAAGCTGCTAAGTGTCGCTGTAGGGTCGGACATTCACACCTTGAACGGGAGCTATCATGTTTCCCCGAAATGTTGGAAACAGGCTCAAACAAAAACTGCCTTACACCAAGAATCAACAAACTCCAGTACCTTTTGTTAAAGCGAAACACAGCAAATTCTGACTCTGTGCTCTCAGGTGTCACTATTTTAATGGTGGATATATTACAGCGGATACGATAATACGTCAATCTTTTGGAAGATTTGAAAACAACTCGATTTTCACATTGTAATCGTCTCTCATTTAAATCACACCTGGGCTGCCTTATTTACAATTAAGTACCAATTATCCTACACGTTGGCATATAGTGTGTGGAAATGAATGCAAACTGTTCTCTTACAGCTCAAAGCTTACTGAGCTGAACTATGGACAAGAATTTGATCTAAATTGCGCTGTATAGTTTAATCATAAATCATAGCCTACTTCTGTGTGAAACACTTACCACACTTACATGCAGATTTTTGTCTTTTTTGGCAGTGAATACACATTGGCCTGCTTCAACTCTTTGCGAGCTCAGAACAGCAAACCATCCTCACCTGTTGCAGTTTGCTCATATAATTTTCTTCACGGTTGCTATACACTTTTGCACAGTCCAAAAACTGTTTGTCTCCCTCTAGTGGTTTCATGCAAAGCTACGTGAGAAGCTTGACTATATTCTCAAAATGATTAGACAAATCTTCTTCTGGAGTATTTTGTCTTTAAAAAAAAAGTTTGATGCCTGACACTTGAGAGCTGGAAGATGAAACATGATCAGGCAAAGCACAAAACCATGGCACTGTTGATGACCAGACTCATTTACATGCATGCACGCAGAAAAGTGCTCAGTAAAAAAACAGACTGATTTAAATACAAACTGTGAATCTATCTCTTCCTGTCTACTGGAGTGCCAGTTAATAGGTTTTTGCCTGGATTAGGGATCCCCGCATGAGAAGCATGGGGAACCATATGAATAGGATAGCATCCAGGATAAGGCTGTTCACATAGGCTGATTGTGTCTGGACAAATCCCTCCTAAGCTGCTTCCAGATGCATCCTCTGACTGAGATGGAGAGGAATGAAGTTTAACCTCTCTGAAGATAGAGACAGCAAAAGTGAGAAACAGTTTTCACTGTGCTGTGACAACTTTAGAGTTACTGTAGGAGATGTAGCTTCTATTTTTTTTGTGTCACTGATAAGCCTACATTTTATACATTTGCTCCTTAAAAAAAAATAGAGTAGAGAGAGTGTGGAATGACATACAGGTAAGTAGCCAGAGATTGGAACCAGCGCCACCAGCTTGAGGGACTATATCCTCCATTTATGAGGTGCAAACTAAACGCTGGGACATTAAAGCTCCACAAAAGTTAACATTAGAACTATTTCTTCAGGATAAAGAAACTCCGATGAAAACTGGTACCTGTTAATTCTGTTGACCAGTCATAACTGCATTTTTGAAAACCATTTCCCAATTCAATATCTTGAAATATTACTGGACCCATGTTTAATAACACAACTTGAATCAACACATAGATGTAAACAACTTCTTCTGGCCCATCTACAGAACCATCAAGGCCCACCAGTGACAAACAGCCCACACTTGGGGGAAAACTGCTGTAGATTATTCTGAATACTAATGGAAATATGCCTTGCATTTAATTGCAGTAAACGCAGATATTTTAAAATGGGGGCATTTAAAACCTGAACTATAGTATGTCTAGCTTGGTTGGCATTTCACAGGGTTGTCTTATTGTGTTATCAGTAGCTTAAGTTATGCTGACTTAAATTGACCGCTTAATACTGTAAGTGCTGCTTATCTTATTATCCTGAATATTTCCTCTTTCTCGTCTGTGCAGTGCCGCTGCAGTGTTGGTTGCCAGTTTGAGTTTGACTGCAGGGGTCAGCAGAACACAGTTATCATCCCGTCTGTTTGTATCAGCAGCTGATTCTGATGGAGCTTTCTTTGGATCAACAAACTAGTCAGACAACCTAACATCTTAATCACAGTTAATATACTTGGCTGACTATGTTTAAAATTATATTTAATGTTATGTGCTCAGGCTACTTTGTGGAATGAGAGTACAACCAAGACGGCAAACACACCCTAACACTGTATTATAAAAAGTGTTTTATATTTGCCAAACCAGATAAACAGTATGAAAGCTGAATACACTCAGGGACACATGGCTGTACAATTACACTCTTAGGCACACATACACACCCATAACACTGAAAAATACTTTCACCCTGAGGCATGTCACACAAATCATTTTTAATAAGTGTCTTTTCTCATTTGTCATTTGCGCTAATCTGTAAATCTTAGTACATAGGTCTTGCAATGACTTCAATTTAGATATTTTAAAGTACTCTTTATTTAGCCTACATTAGCACATTTTCTTCAAGGTTGCTACAGTTAGTACAGTTTCTGTTTGTCTAATTTATATGTTTTAGAATCAGAATCAGTAGGCCGATTGGGGTTTCCTGCCTTGAGTTTAATTGTTGTTGTTTTTTGGTGCATCATAGTCATCAGAAATAACAGAGAATAACACTAAAGCACAAGAGTTCTCCTGCTGTTGAAAAACTTATAGGAATAAAATTAACTAAATTAAAAAAATAAAGGAAAATATTAACAATTCATCCATAACTTGTATAAAAAAACAATAGCCTAGGTCAGTGTTTCTCAAATGGGGGTACATGTACCCTTAGGGGTACGTGGCAAATGTGATTTGAGAAAAGTTGCATCACAACAAGCCAATTAATTATTTAAAGGAAAATCCATACACTGATTTAAGACTTTATTAACAGCATTTGTTCTCTATGCGACATCAAATAGGGCAACATTTCCAACTTGAGGATATTCATTTATAATATAGCTTTATGTGCAGAGCCTCCGTCTGTTGACGTGAATTGTTCAGCGAGCAAGCAGATATAAGTTCGCATGCTAAAAAAAAAACAGGTTGTCGAAACGAGGTAACGAATCAGCTGCTGAAAAAATATTATTGGGGGTATTTGGCTGAATAAAAAATCTGAAAGGCGGTACACAAGCCCAAAAAAAGAAGTTTGAGAATCCCTGGCCTGGGCTACTTTGAACAGAATGAGATATGTTGCAAATGCATTGTATGAAACACTGAGGAAATGTGGCTTTCTAAGCTCTTTGTAGTTCAAATATTCCTATTTTCTGCGTCTGTTGAATTTCCAGACGCAGTCATCTTTTGGTATGACATGTTTATATGTGTGTGCACCTCTGAAGGCTGCTACGATAAGGAAACATTCACGTCAATGGAGTGGACACATTGGGAAGAAGGCGAAACAGTGGCGCCCTCTGGTGGAGACTTTTTTCAGCGGGAAGAGAGGACGCAGGTCCGGTTGTTATGGTGAAGCATTTCCCCAGAGAGGCCGGTCAAGAGAGCAGGAGGAGGAGAGGAGAGGAGAGGAGGACAAGCAGCTCATTCAGTTTCACTAACGCGGAGCAGCTCAGGAGCGACTACTGAACAGGTAAGATATTTACACATGTTGTTTTCCAAACACAGTATGTTGTTATCGTACCTTCGCTGCAACTCAGTTAAAGTAAGTCGTCGTTAAGAAACATAACTGTCCCTACACGAGCTGCCGTGTAGCTGAAAGGTGAGCTAACCTGAGGCTACGGTGACGTTAGCGTGACTAAATGTTTTTTTTTTTTTGCTTCTTTAGTGTTCTTATAACTTGTTTTACCGAGTAAGAGTCGCGCCTATTGGATAAACACTTGCTGGTATTAACTCTATCTTTACACTGGTGAATGGAGCCAGGTAGCTTAAACGAGCTGCTGTCGTTACCTGTCAGACTAGCCACCTGTTGAGCTCGTGTGTTGACTGCCAGGTGTGTTAGCTAATCGGCTGCTCACACTTTAATCCCGCGCTGTGTTGGACAACAAGAAAGTAACACATCCCGATATAAATACCATTTGAAACTTACTTACTTTGATCAAAATGTCAGAGTTAAAGTAACACGGTAGTTAAAGCCTAATTTATACAGTTTAATGTAATCCATGAGATGATAGACAACACAATCAAAACATCACATGTATAATGACTGATATCTACTTTTACATTACAAGCTGAAGTACATTTAAGAATATTAATATTGCATAATGCCAATTCTATAGTAAAAGGATTTTATTGAATTATTACCATGCATTGTTTGGTGATTAGGTCAAAAAAAAAATAACAGAAACTTTGTTGTCAAATACATTTTCCATACACAATTAAAGCAGCTCAGGGCTCCAGTAAGGTTGTACAGTACAACATGCTGGTATGGCAACTATTGGTGTCTTCTATAGAGTGGAAACAAGCGGCTTGTTTGATTAATTGATAAGCCAGTTGCTCGAAAATGAATCAGAATTAATCTTGATCCCGATCAATTATTTGTCTCACAAAAATGTAAGTCACTCTTTGGCTCCAGTTGCTTTGGTGTCAGGATTTGCAACTTTTATTTGTTTTATGTTAAAGTTCAGTTTATCACATCATAGTCATGTATCGTGACAGATTATTCAAAGACACAAGAAAAAGTAATAACTAGTAGTTGTCATTAATCTTGTTTGTCCAGATGTTGTTTACCGCTTGATTACTCAGTGACTATTTGAGTTTAACATTACATTACCATATTATTAACCTAAATAAACTCGGTCGTCTATTTTTGTCAAGCCAGCCTTGCTTGTGTTGCGCACAAGTATTACCATGTGTGGTCAAAGTACTTGTTCAAGGCATTTCCTGAGTATGTGTAGTCAAATATTTGCAGGTTTCCTAATACAGACCAAGATTAGCTGGTGGATATGCAGTGTTAACAGAACGAACACAGTCAGGAGGAGATCACAAAAAGGTTAGATATAATTTCAACAGTGTACTTATAATTTAATGGACTGTAACCCTGGTGGTCAGATTGCAAGGAGGCACATTAACTGAACTAAGATTCATGTTAATTGGATCATAGATCAACTTAACAAGCACTTTAATAGTAACTAGTAAGAAATCTGAACCCAGTGAGAAATTTTGAGGTTGTCATTGTAGAAATATTTTTTGCCCATTCTACTTTTTCTTCATGATAAAAGGTCAAACATTTTTTTCAAAGCATTTGGCTCTCTCCTCTACATTCCTTCTTTCGGAAACTCCCTTTTTATTTTTTCTCCATCTTTTCCCGTCGAGGTATATCTCCACCTTTCGTTCTTATTAAATGTGTGCGATCCTGCAGGTGGATGTTACAGTGTACATCATCTCATCCTGTGGGATCCATCTAAAGATTCCTTATTCCTCTTTTCCTCTCCACCTCTGTGTCTGCGTGATGTGACCCTACTTCCTGCTTTAGGAGCAGTCAGAGGAGTTTTACGTAGGCTGTCTCCTCCCCATCCTTCCTCCTCCTCCCCATATTCTACTCTATCTCCTTTGCATTCTTTCCTCCACATCCTCTTGCCCTCTCATTTCATATCCTGTCTTCCAGAAAAAGCAGCAGTAGCAGCTCTGTCTGTTTGTCTTTATAACCCCAAATCTGTTTGCAAACCATTTCCAAATCCGTCTCCTTCATACTACATG